GTATTGGAAACCACCTCCCGCTTTTGCTAGCTTGGGAGTGTGATATCGACTGATCAACAGTTACATGTTGAGTTGCGTATTCGCGTGTCGAAGGCGGCAGCCGCATTCGGGAAGCTTGAGTACCGAGTGTGGAACAACCATCAGCTTAGCATTGGCACGAAGCTGATGGTTACAAATCCATGGTACTGTCCGTTCTTCTATACGGCAGTGAAACGTGGACGATGTACCGACGGGATGTGCGATATATCGAGCGGTTCCATCAGCAGTGTCTGCGACGAATTTTGCGGATCGGTTGGGGCGCCAGAGTCGCAGACACGGAAGTGTTGCGCCCGAAGTGGGATGTATGCAGTGGACTGCATACTTTTACTGAGACACCTGAGATGGCTCGGTCATGTGAGCCGTATGGATTCGGCGCGGATACCGAAACAACTTTTATACGGTCAGCTGAGTATTGGGAAGCGGCACGTGGGGAAACCAAAGTTACGTTACCAGGACATGATTAACGTGAGTCTCTCACGATCTAATCTTGATTGCAGATCATGGGAATCGAAGGCGGTTGATCGGCGTGCATGGCGCGATCTAATCACGAAGGCAGTTGCTGAAGTGCGGGAGAAAGCCCTCATGCATGCAGAGAAGAAGCGGCAGTTGCGGAAGCGGCAAGTACCATTGAATTGTACTCCATCGACATCGAGCGCATGGTGCTGTAGAACATGCGGTCGCGAGTGCCTTAGTCAGGCAGGCCTAGTGAGCCATGAGAGAGGTCACTCGGGAAAACTGCCGAAGCGACGACGGGTCCCGCAGTGAACATAGGCAGCACCGGCGCAGCGTTTGTAGGCACGCTGAATTCGATTTACTAACCGCATGCTTGCATGCTAAGTCTCTTTATTTCAGGTGGTGGGTTTTCGGTTCTCTCCTAATGCCTTTCTTTCTCATATAAATGTCTAGTGGGCCATGAGCTATGCCATTTGGGGCCCTACAGAAGCGACGACGGGTCCTACAGAGACTTACGGCGAGCCGGCGCAGCGTTTGTAGGCACGCTGAATTCGATTTACTAACCGCGTGCTTGCATGCTAAGTCTCTTTATTTCAGGTGATGGGTTTACAGTTTTTACCTTAATGCTTTTCTTTCTCACATAAATATCTATCTGTACTCTATTTCATTAACTTGCACACATCGCCTAAGCCAATTGTATTCGATTTCCATAACATTTTTGCGTCGTGGCATTCCGTGAACTATACTTCCTGACCTCGTGCACTTAGCTAGGATTTGTTTGTAATCAACTTATTACATATACTATTAAATTAAGGTTTGTATCACCGTTTCCTTATGCATTAATCGAGTTTTTCTCTTTTTCCTTCTCTCTTTCAAGTGTTTGGCTGTTGTTTGATATCCCCGGTGTGGATGCGCTTGATGTGCATGTTGACAAAGTGCCTACCTGTCTATTACCCACTACCTCGTCCATACTGGCTCCAGGAGACAGTTGGTCGTTGCTGGAGGGGACGGAGTGCACGGTCTTGTGGCCGCGTTAGGCTCGAAGAGTGGTTCCATGCATTCAGTGTGGAGCGGACTACGGTCCAGCCACCGCCTTGTGTGCGGTTGATTCCCCAAATACAGCGTGCTTGTGTTTGCCTGTGAAGGAGTGTGGGCCGGCTCCGTTGATGAAACGTGGTTCCCATCCGCATGCCTCCCGGTCTTATTCCTTCGGGTTTACACTGGATATGGGGTATGTGGTTGGAGCTGTGGGTGGTGCAGCGCAAGCCATCCATGGTCCCTCTGTAGGCGCAGGCGTCCTGTGGCTTGCCACAGTGACAGGCAAATCCGAAAGCGGATGCCGCCAACCATATATATATATATATATATATATAGAGATATAATTATATATATATCGATGGCAAGGCAGTTGTAGGTTTGGCGTAAGCAGTACCAGATTGTACACATCTCAACGAATTGTGCTGCTAGGACAAATTAGCATTAAAAAGGCGTAACTCATTCCCAACCAGCAAATATGTCTTTAAAATTGTCTCCTGCTAGCTAACGGCGTCCTCGTATGCGATGTTTTATCTGTACCGTGAATCAAGGGAGGCGTCCAACCAAAAATTGCGGCATAAATGCGTGAGGTAAACGGAAACACAGTAGGGTGCACGGATGAATGGATTTTATGTGTGATGGCGAACTTCGATGTTCCTACAGTGATAGCAAGATAGTAGTGTCCCATATAGCAATGACGAGCTGGCTCGCGCTAAATTTCGAAAGGTGTAGGAGCACTGGCAATACGATATGTAGTGTCAAGTACAAATTGTATCACAGATCGTGTTCCATAGGGACTATCAAACTAGTTAGAGTATAATAGGCGGGCGGTACCCATCCAACGGGCCGCAGTCTGGTGACCCATGACTTAGAGGTATGTCCCAGGATAAGTAGGGATCATAGTGAATTACGTGTTGTGAGAATGGATCGCGAAACGCAATCTCGATCAGGACCACAATTCACGCGTATTCTAAATTGACCTGTCCAATCCGTCATTAACTGTTGTGACAACTGACCTAGTGCTTCAGGGGTAGATGCTTCGCCTCACATCCTAAAGGTCTCAGGCTCGAATTCAATCTCGTTACATATACCTGATGAGCGCAAACAAGTTTGTAACTGGCCATGGAGCGCAGCTTTCCAGAGAGTAATATCCAACATTCACCAACATTGCAGAATATCCAATGATAGCATTGTGCTCATCAGCAATAGATTCAGTCCAGTTGCGTGATGGGGACAGAGTTTGGAAGAGAGAGAATTGTCGCCGTGTTAGCAAGTAGGATTGACATTTGGTAACAAGAATCGTCATCTCAAGCACTCATGAAAGAAGCGGGGTCATATGGGGATAAGGCATCGCCGACAGACGAGCAGGACATCGCCCCAGAATAGGTTAGCAAACAAACCGGTCATTTAGGAGATCTATCCTACATCTTAAGAGCTGGCAATGATGATGACTGATGTGTAGCCACTTGGTTTGTACTTATCACTCAGACCAATTCCAAGCGCCACGAAATCCCAATCCTTGAAGCGACAACTTGCATATCAATCCGCTTTTATCAAGAAGGAAACCCTACTACATCATCTGAAAGGCTGGTTCTGGAGTTTACGAGGCATGGGACGTGCCTCCGCGAATGGTACAGATGGCACCAAGTGAATGAACGCATGTGGTCCAATGAATGACTTTTATGCTCGGCACCGTTTCGAGCGATGGGAAGATTGACAAGGTGCCCACAGGGCGAATGCTGCCACCTCGACTACTGTCTCTAGGATCATCACTAACAGGGACAATGCAAAGTATTTCTGCTATGATCACCAAGGTCACACCGGGCCGCTCTGATTGACTGCTCGAGAAAAACCTTCCGCGCCGATTGGCCGATCAAAACGCAAGGTTGTGCAGGTACGGTTTATTGACAGCCAGATACAAGACAATTACACAGCGCAGAGTACAGATATGTTTATTTGTTCGTGGCGACAAACCTGTGTGTTCTCTGTTCTCTTCCATTCATCATTTACCAATAATAGTATTACAATGTGCGAAATCAACCAATGCGATTAATCTGCTTGGTTGATTTGGTTAGGGTTCGCAGATCCATGGGAGGTGTTCCTCCTAACAAGTTCCACTACGGAATGAGCTACGGCCCAGTCATCGTCTTTGGTACGATTATTAGAGATGTATTTCCCGACAGTTTTAGGAAGTGTATTGAATGACAGGTCTCGATCACACCATGCTCAGCAAACGCGCGAAGTTCGCACATACAGCTTTAATGAGTAGGATCAAGCGGGTTCAATGAGTGTGGCCTGGCAGTTAACAAATTGTGCTTCAAAACCTCACAATCATAAGATTAAGTGTTGCTTCGGGCTTTCAATGGACGCGCGTCCTCGTGTGTGTGGTGCAGTGCAGGCAAGTGTTTCAAAATCCGCTCCACAAGGAGAAAAACAGGAGCAAATTGGATAGTAATCAAGTAGCGACCAAAGCATATCGGTGAAGGTAGAGCACAGCTGGCGCAGCCGAGCGACAGACTATCATTCGGGAAGTGAGCAGACAACAGCCTGCCTAAATATATCAACCAATTTCACCACGCTGTAAGATTACGATACCAGCCCAGAACCTGTCAACCATGTGTGGCAACAGTAAACAATGTCACACAAGCGACATTTGAGGAGCATACAACAAAGACATCAAGTGATGCAAGTGCAACTGACGGGGTACCTGCGAGTGGGAAAATCTGACAACGCATGCTCGGTAGGACAGCCGGCACCAACAGTCTGATGCCTACAGCGCAAAGCTGGAGCTTTTCTGATAGATACATTAACAGGTAATGCGGCGTCCTGCAATCTGTCTCACTTGATAAGCAAACTCCACACCGGTTGAGGCATCAAATAGATGCAACGGTCGCCCAAATTAACGCAGCAACCGCCCATCCAATTAGCTGACTAGTTTGTAAGAAACGGTCACAAGGACAGTATCGAACACTGTTAGCGGCTGTTCGGTAGCAGTGGGAATCCATGGTACGTAAGTCCAGCTCTGCAGTAATAGCTAAAGCACCAACAGAGGCGTGCAGCGATATATGCCTATCCAAACCAAGGCGCCTGCAAATGAATTTGGTCCAATCTAATCTAACTGCCAGCCTAATCGCTACTTCTGTAGAAGAGTGCAGAATGATTGATGACCTCTTTCTCAAAGAGGTTGAAAAAGGAAAATGGCAGAAAAGATCTGATTTATCCTAAATGGCTTGACAAATTCGGGTGGACAAGCTAATGTTGCGCGAGAGAAAACCCCGAGCGTTGTTGATCGTAGCATGTCGCACAAAGGGTTGAGCTGTGAGAGGACGTTGCACATCGCCGTGGTGATGCTGACCACTGCACAAATGGTTCCAAAAGGCAGCTTCCCGATCGGAAGCTGCTGGAAAGTCAGGAGACATCGAATTTCCATTGATACGTTAATATTCGCGAGGAGAACACAATGTGCGTGAAACTCACCGACCGGGACTCAGGCACCAGTAGCTCAGTGTTCGATTCGTTGTGGATCTGGTAGTATTTCCAGCGTGGGAACCCCAAACTCTATTGCCGTCAATGGGCAGAGCTGAGCCTCTGCCATTAAGCAGCTCATCTTTGACAAATAAACGGTAACATCGAGAGTAGTCCACATTCTGCGGCCGGAAGAGAGAAAGCAACTTCGATTGGGCGGGTGGATGCCTACTTTCAAAGACGGTCTAGAAGATCAAGCAGAGGAGATCAAATAAGATTAAAGGATGCACCGTTGAATTCAGCACGGGAATCATATATGACAGCGGAGGAGCTTGCGAGTAATTGGAGTGAAACGTGAATGACGCAACATAACGAAGATAATGTATAAGTTGGAAAGATCACGAGATGAATTCTACCATAATGTGCATTGTAGTAAATCGTAAATGCAATAAAAATGAAGTCAAAATATTAAACGTCACATTTGATCGATTGACAGCTGACGCCTTCAGGCGGACAGCTGCCGCCGTTGTAGGCCTCCCCAAAGTTCACAAAAGAGGAGCCCCATTGCATCCGATCTTGGACATGGTTAGTTCTTCCCAACATATTATATTTCAATGGATGATTGAGAAGTTGGAACCGCTGCGGAAAGTAATTTGCACTGACTACATGAAGGTTAGTTGAGTTCATTGAGAGGATACAGAACGTGAACCTTAGCAACAAGTGTATTTCATCATTCGACGTCCAGTTGTTGTTTACAAATAATCCGTTATTGGAGAAAATGGATTAGGTTTGCAAACAGGTACAACAACAAAACATGCCATAAAATCTCCCGGAAAATCTTCTGAAGGAATTGTTACTTAGGTGCATCCTAAATGTGCAGTTTATCTTCAACGGAAAGATATATCGTCAACTAGATGGAGTTGCCATGGGGTCACGATTGGAAGCTCTTTTGGCAGATGTCTTTATGGCGAAATAGGAGGATCGCTTAATAAGACTGTACATCAAGGAAGTTGAAATGTATATACGCCGTGTGTAGGACACATTTACATTTTGTAAATCGAAGTTACATGCTATGAAGCTTTTGAAATCGTTTAACGACGCGCATCGGAATCTGCATTTCACCTGTGAGCACGAGTCCGAAGAACGATTACCATTTCTGGACGTTGATATTATCAGCAGCATAAAAATGCATAGAAAACACACTTGAACTGGGCAGTTTACCAAGCTTTGCAGTGCGGTTCCCTTGCAGTACAAACGGAATCCGCAACCTTGCCTTCTGGGCACAGAGAATGTGCACACCGGAGACTGTTAACGAAGGACTGCAGAGGGTAAACGACGACCTAATATCAAATGGACATCCGGAAAAATAAATCCTCAAACATCTTAAAGACCACTGAGGATGAGCGTAGCCAACAAGGAAGTTTCTGTGCATTTACTGTGCAAATGCGACATTACGCCTGAAGTCCTGACCAAACGCTTGAAAGACGCTGTTGAGAAGACCCATTTCGCAGCCCACTTGCGCATCGTATAACAAAGCAAGCATTTACTCTCAAAAACTTTGAAGGATAGATTTTTAAGGTTGACTCGAGCAATGCGTGTTTATCAATACTCGTGCTCTTGTGGTGCACGGTAGGGGAGTCGCACTACGATGCGCCTATCGCATAGGATTCGTAAACACATCCCGAAGTGGTTTTACAGTGGCGAATAGCTAATAGCTTCATCATGTCGCAGGTCCAGGGAAAGGATTTAAGAGTTATCTATTCCCATTCCGGAGAGATTCCCGTGCGGATTCCGTTAGCATCTCCTATCTATTGCTGAGGCGCTCCAGATTCGCCACCCCAAGCCGGAGCTGTGTGTACAGAAGGGATTCGCACGCGTTACTTTTATCGTAGCCGATATATCGCGACTGATTTTGCTTGATTTTGCTTTTACCCTGTAAAACTTTGATTAGTTGTGAAAATAATGTACCTAATTAACTGTATATTGTACTTAATCCACCACCTTTAAAGACACCGTGAGTCATGGATTTGGCCGTCAAATTTAACATCCTATTCAATATTTAGCACAACTCGGCACATTTACCATGTAACGCGCATTATGTAAATGTCCGAGTCTGATGAGATTCACCAAAAAAATCTTAACTAAACACTCGGACTCATCTTATTGGTTTCGAACCAAAAACGATAGGTGTGGTGTACAATAGTTGGGCTCGCAATGGGTGTTAAAGAAATCCAGAAAACGGACAATTAAGCGCAGCAACTGCAATCGATGACACTGTAGTGTGGGGGATGCAGTCAATTTGACTCACGTGGCAAAGGACCAATAGTATCAGTAGTGTAGTCAGCAACAATTCAAGAATAACGGATAAAAATTAAATCATAAGGATGGGTAGTTAAGTAAGAGCTGTGGAAACGGATGTGCGAGACAGTCTAAGGTATTTCGCTATTCCATTGACTGGACAACTCGGGGTTGCACCAAACTGCGCAGACTATCTGCATAGAATACAGGCTTAGGTGGCCAAGCTGCGGCTGTGCGAACCACATGACTAACTCAGTGTAAGCGACTCTAGTTTAACAGACAGTCCAATTGGATATTTGAGGCTCTGAACTTCGACAATACTATACGCATCAAACGGATGTGAGCAATACTTCGCAAGCATCGGTGTTCATACTTAGTCAGTAGTTTGGTATCCTAACCGCGTTCAAGGCCAAGTCCAAAGAGTACATTGCAATACTGTGAACTCTCCACTTAACAAGCTTACAATCCGCCGTCCCGCAATCAATAGAGGCCTTGAAAAGCCACACAAACGCTGTTAATGTGTGCGGTAAACATCGCAATGGGGCGATCATAAAGTTTTATGTTATGAAGCAGGACAGAGATCGATGATTTGAAGTTGGCCTGATGATCTGTGAAGAACAAAAACTGGTGCTGCTGGAAGAAGAACTTATCGACGTGGGCGATTCAATAGTCAAGCAGTCCGTGTGCCAGCAGAACTCGTTCATCCCTATCAGTCCTATCAACAAAAAATGAAATTTCTAACAACTGCATATAATTTAACAGAGGCAAACTGACAAAAGTTTGGCTTAGAAATACCGCAACTGCATCAAGGTTCGAGAAAAACCAAGCCGACTGCGAGCAAAGGCGATGAGTAGAAAATGAGACGAAAGTGTCAGCATCGCACTGGGCTACGTGAAGACAGCTGACCTTCAAAAATTCCGACACCTCATTGATTCCCCTGGGTCGACGCAATTGTGGGTCTGAAAGGAGGAAACAAAGAGAAAAGGTGGCATAATAGATGCAACTCATTCAGTTAAACAACTCTGGTCCAAGTATCTAAGCAATGTGTAGCAAGAAATAGAAAAAATAGGATAAAATGCAGAGGGAATGTATAAAATTAGTCAGTAGAAGTTAAGGTTAAGCGACATAGAGTATTAAGCGCTAAGTGCAGGAAACCGAACGCATACTAACAATATGACTATCCCAAAGTCCTCATAAACTATTACGGTACGTGACAGATTGGTCGTCTCTCGGCCTATTTCTTCACGCCTTAATGACACTGTTTATTCGACCACTTATCTGTAAAGGAGAAAAACTCCGGACAAGTGGCAATCGGGTCTGTAGGATAAAGCATTCAATTCATGAAGAAGGAGTGTCCAACTGTACTCACTCTCAGCGGCAGTAGAGACCGACAGGATTTCCTCCACAGTGTGCAGGGCCAATTCAGTTGTTTGGGCTGTAAAACCGGCACGAGCGAGAAGATCGAAGAGGAATCTGAGGAATAAGGCAAAAACAACTTCACCATGGGCAAAGCATATCAGGATGGAATCAGTAGTATACGCAACAAGCAACCGCTGGAGAAATGGGGAAAAGCAGTGCCATCATAAAAGGGACGCGAGTAATAAAGTAGGTAACGTTGCAACTAATTAAATAAAAAATTTGTATATTTGCCGACAGACGGTACACGGCCCCATAAGTGGGAGTGATCTTTTGTATAGTCAATACGTTTCATAATATTAAAGAAAAGTTTGTTAATAGAATTTCGGATCATGATTTTTTTTCCTTAGGTGCTAGACCCGTGCACCTCATATGTAAAAGTTACGGATGTTTGTATCATCAGGAGTAGATAATAAAGGGAGGGACTACTAGGCTGGAAAAACACGGGATTTTTAATGGTATGTATTGACATGTAGTGGTTAAGCCAGCTGTAAGCGAATATCTTCTCCTATGTTTGTTATATCAGATTCCGTCAATGTTTCTAGAGTTTGCTGTGAGTCAAATATCTTCAAAACATTTGGTATAGTGAGGAAGGTCTGAAAGAGATTTCGAAAAGTGACATGGCTTGTACACATGCGTATCTGTAGGGGTAGTTTGTTCCACAAATCAGTGTATCACACTAACAAGAAATTCGACCGAATTTTATGACTTGAAAGATTTGTACGTATCAAGTAGCCGCCATTACGTGTGGGGTAGACTGCAGTCTTCCGCAGTTCAAGTGCGGTGCTTTCTGCGTAAATTCGTTGGTATATAATATTGTAGAAGAGAACGAGGTTGTTCTTTAATCATCTAAGCCAAAGTGGATCTAGTTGGAGTTTTCGACAGCGATTATAATAAGTCAGATTTGAGCAGCGCCCCATGACCAGCTTGGTAAATGATCGTTGGACATTTTCCAGAGCCGTTCTGTCTTTCTTTCTCATTTGGCTGTGAACAATAGTACAATATTCCAGAGTCGGTCGTACTGTCTTGAATGACTCAAGTCGTGCTTCAGATAGGGAAAAAGTTTTGGTGATATATCCGCATAATTGCCTTGCTTTCGCAACCTGATAAAGAACATGTTCGGAGAAATTGAAAGAGTTAGAGTATCTAATTCCTAAGTCCCGAACTGAATCAGACGTTGGGATCACGTTTCCGGCAAGTATAATGGAGCCTTCTGGGATGCGGCATCTGTACCCAAGTACTTGGGATTTCACTGCGGAGAACTTCATTAATAAACGCTCACTAGCTATATTTAGTGCGGATAGGTCTTCACAGATGTTCCCCAAACATATATGTAGCTGGTCTGGATGAAATGAGTAAACCAGTTTGACGTCATCTGCAAGCAGAAATGGGTGCCCATGTTTGGTCGGGTCACACATCTTGTTTACGTAGATTAAGAAAAGTAGTGGTCTGAGCACACTTCCCTGGAAGACACCGCTGGTTATTGGTTTCGGTGTAGAATGTTGCTGACCGAGTTCAACTACCTGAGTTCGACCGTTTAGGTATGAGTCGAACCAGTTAAGCAGTGGATTTCCAATTCCATATGACTCTAGAGCAGACAGCAGTGGCTTGTGCGGCACGCGGCCGAACGCCTTTTGCAAGTCCAACAGAATTATACTAATTGCCATTCCTCTATCAATCATAGTCGTGACGTGATCGAGAAATTGTAGCTGACATGTAACGCAGGAGCGTTTTGAGAGAAAGCCATGCAGTGAGGAGTTAATCAGATCCAGTCTTGTAAGATATTGGACAATGTTCTTCTTGACTATTCGCTCTAGGGCTTCGGAAACAGCAGAGGTGTGATTTATTGGGCGGTAGCTTGACACTTGATTTCTCGGGCCACCCTTGTGCTTAGGCATTATAATGGATTGCTTCCATTGAGTTGGAAAGCAGCCGGTAGTGAGTGAGAGTGTGAAGATGTTTAATAACAATAGTGCGAGGTTTTTTCCTCCGAATTTTATAACGGTTGGGGAAATGCCATCTGGACATGGATGAGTTGATGGTTTTATAGCTGCGATGGCACTGTGCACCTCTCTTAACGTCACAGGGATATTGCAGTATAGTTCGGTCGTTCTTTTTGGAAGTGGAGTATGAAGTGGCTGAATGCTGGGGACAAAAGAGGAGGCAAAACTAGAGTTCATAGCCTCGCATATACAGGAGATGCCGCGCGTTATTGAACCATCGTCTAGAGCCAACGTTACAATTTCCTGAAGTGGTTTAGGGTTCCTTATTATGAGTGGTTGCATCAATGTACGTACTTTCTCAGGATTTCTGAGTACCCGGCTTTCTTCTTTGGTTTTGACCGTTAGGGTTAGATGTTGTAAATATAGTAAGTTCTCGTGTATTTGTAGCAATGTTGCGAAGCTGTTGTTCCTGCTGTATAGCGATTTGAGTTTCTTTAGTTTTATTTTGGCTTTGTACAGTAGCTTGAGTTCCCCACTATGTTCATGGATATTTCTCCATACAGTAGGTGCCAGGAGATCCACAACAAGAGCAATATTGTTCATAAGCTCATTAGTAGCCACAGTAGGGTTGTGAGTTAAAAATGACGTATTCCAATTCATGGTACTGATAAGTTCGTTAAATGAGTTCCAGTCCACATGATGGAGGTCGCGAATGGGTTTCAGCATGTTACTGGATCGTTTAGTTGAATCTATAGTCATATCACAAAGCACCCTGTTGTGATCACAACCAGGTAGTGGATTATCAATGAATGTATAAGCGTAAGTGATTCCCATCGTGAATACAAGGTCTAAGGTAGTAGCACTTCTAGTTGGCTCTCTAACACGCTGAGTCCAACCATTGAGGTGGATACATGTGATAATTTCCTCAATCTCCGCCGTGTTTCTGAGTGTAGGCAGCATCCAGTTAACATGTGGTAGGTTGAAATCTCCACATATAATTTTGGATTTGTATGTGGTGTCGGAAGCAACACTGATCATATCGGCAGCACACCAGTTTTTTAACCATGTATTGCTACCATGGAACCCTAAACAGCTGCACACAAGTTACAGTGGCGACAAAAGTCCACTGAGAGACAGGACGCGAACCCATGACTCACGGGATGAAAGCCAGGTGTGCGAATCACGACACAGCAGATATGCTAAGGTGCGAGAGTATAAACCGGAAGAAGTCCACCAGCCAGTGGACGGATGATTAAGATCGCAGGAAGACCATCACGTAATAAGCAAAATGTAAAAATGTAGATCCTGTTAGTTTCATCAACGGAACGGATGAAGTTGGCCGAGATGGGCAAGGCAACACGGATTTTGGGTCTATAAGTCCATCCACAACATATGACGTTTTGATAAAGGTAAATTACCATCGGTTTTCGTACAAAAATTCGTCGTGATCGGTCTCATTGGCTCTCAACGACGGCGATATATTTCCATGATGTCAAGCGGAAGTTTGAAATAGTCGTAATCCAAGCCACATGGATTCTTACGTGACCGATCGGATTTTAATAAACTGATGATGAAGAAATACAACACTGGAGGGTATCATTCTTCTGTCCTTTCAAATGGAGTTCTCAAGGTACCAAAATTTGTGATTGATGAGTGAATAGGATCAAGAGTAAGCAAGATTCTTTCATGACACCAGACGCAATGTGTCGGTGATAACACACCATACGTGACGAATTTGACGGAATGTACACTTACAGTGCTTGAAAAAAGTGGTATTCTTCGAAAAAGCGTGATAGAGCAACCAAAGGGAAACTTTGGCTGAGTAAACCATTATGTGCTTAGAAAATGATGCTGCTGAGTAAACATGGAATATGCAGGCCATTGGAACAAGCACAAAGTGAATAGACTTCGTATGCGTTTGTCTTCAACATCTCAGTCGACAAACAGTTTCACCTTCATATTTAAGCTGAAGTTAAAGTGAGGTAAAAGGCTTTGAATACACCGGCTGATGACACCACGACGATACCATAAGGTACTGAGTACATCGTCGAGGGTGTAGCAGAAAAAGTTACAATTTTGGGTAGGGCTTCAGTGGTCGAAAAGATGAGCTTTTTAAAGAGAGTAGCTGAAAAAATGATGAAGACACACCCGCATGTGCGGCGAACTTCACTAGTCTGTGTGTAACACTCCTCTAAGCACACACAGGTGTGAGTGCTTAGAGGAGTGTTACACACAGACTAGAGAGATGCGCGGGACATGCGGGTGAGTCTACAACATTTTTTCAGCTACTCTCTTTAAAAAGCTCGCCTTTTCGACCACTGAAGCCCTACCCAAAATCGTAACCTTTTCTGCTGCACCCTCGACGATGTACTCAGTATCTTAGAGTATCGTCGTGGTGTCATCAGCCGGTATATTCAAAACCTTTTACCTCACTTTAACTGCAGCTTAAAAACGCAGGTGAAATTGTTTGTCGACTGAGATGTTGAAGACAAACGCATACGAAGTCTATTCACTTTGTACTTGTTCCAATGGCCTGCGTATTCCAGGTTTACTCAGCAGCATCATTTTCTAAGCACATAATGGTTTACTCAGCCAAAGTTTCCCTTTGGTTGCTCTATCACGCTTTTTCGAAGAATACCACTTTTTTCAAGCACTGTAGGTGTGCATTCCGTCAAATTCGTCACGTATGATGTGTTATCACCGACACATTGCGTCTGGTGTCATGAAAGGATCTTGCTTACTCTCGATCCTATTCACTCATCAATCACAAATTTTGGTACCTTGAGAACCATTTGAAAGGACAGAAGAACGATACTCTCCAGTGTTGTATTTCTTCATCATCAGTTTATTAAAAGCCGGTCGGTCACGTAAGAATCCATGTGGCATGGATTACGACTTTTTCAAACTTCCGCTCGACATCATGGAAATATATCACCGTCGTTGAGAGCCAATGAGACCGATCACGACGAATTTTTGTACGAAAACCGATGGTAATTTACCTTATGTCATATATTGAAGATGGACTTATAGACCCAAAATCCCTATTGCCTTGCCCATCTCGGCCAACTTCATCCGTTCCGTTGATGAAATTAACAGGATCTACATTTTTACATTTTGCTTATTACGAGATGGTCTTCCTGCGATCTTAATCATCCGTCCACTGGCTGGTGGACTTCTTCCGGTTTATACTCTCGCACCTTAGCATATCTGCTGTGTCGTGATTCGCACACCTGGCTTTCATCCCGTGTGTCTTGGGTTCGCGTCCTGTCTCTCAGTGGACTTTTGTCGCCACTGCAACTTGTGTGCAGCTGTTTAGGGTTCCATAGTAGCAATACATGGTTAAAAAACTGGTGTGCTGCCGATATGATCAATGTTGCTACCAGCACCACACACAAATCCAAAATTATGTGTGAAGATTTCAACCTACCCCATGTTAACTGGTGGCTGCTTACACTCAGAAACACTGCGGAGATTGAGGAAATCATCTCACGTATTCAGCTCAATGGCTGGACTCAGCATGTTAGAGATCCAACTAGAAGTGCTACTACCTTAGACCTTGTATTCACGATGGGAATCGCTTACGCTTATACATTCATTGATAATCCACTACCTGGATGTGATCACAACACGGTGCTTTGTGATATGACTATAGATTCAACTAAACGATCAAGTAAAATGCTGAAACCCATTCGCAACCTCCATCATATGGACTGGAATTCATTTAACGAACTTATCAGTACCATGAATTGGAATACGTCATTTTTAACTCACAACCCTACTGTGGCTACAAATGAGTTTATAAACAACATTGCCCTTGTTGTGGATCTACTAGCACCTACTGTATGTAGAAATACCCGTGAACATAGTGGTGAACTCAAGCTACTGTACAAAGCCAAAATCAAACTAAGGAAACTCAAATCGCTATATCGCAGGAACAACAGCTTCGTAACATTGCTACAAATACACGAGAATTTACTACATTTACAACGTCCAACCCAAACGGTCCAAATCAAAGAAGAAAGCCGGGTACTCAGAAATCCTGAGAAAGTACGTACATTGATGCAGCCACTCAAAATAAGGAACCCTAAACCACTTCAGGAAATTGAAACGTTGGCTCTAGACGATGGTTCAATAACGCGCGACATCTCCTGTATATGCGAGGCTGTGAACCCTAGCTTTGCCTCCTCTTTTGTCCCCAACATTCAGCCACTTCATCTTCCACTTCCAAAATGAACGACCGAACTATACTGCACTATCCCTGTGACGTTAAGAGAGGTGCAAAGTGCCATCGCAGCTATAAAACCATCAACTCATCCAGGTCCAGGTGGCATCTCCCCAACTGTTATAAAACTCGGAGGAAAAAATCTGGCACTATTGTTATTAAACATCTTCACACTCTCACTCACTACCGGCTGTTTTCCAACTATGGAAGCAATCCATTATAATGCCTAAGCACAAGGGTGGCCAGTGAAATCAAGTTTCAAGCTACCGCCCAATAACTCACACCTCTGCTGCTTCCAAAACCCTTGAGCGAATAGTCGAGGAGAACATTGTTCAATATCTTACAAGACTGGATCTGATTAACCCATTACAGTATGCCCTTCTCTCAAAACGCTTCTGCGTTACATGCCAGCCACAATTTCTCGATCACGTCACGATTATGATTGACAGAGGAATGGCAATTAGCATAATTCTGTTGGACGTGCAAAAGGCGTTCGGCCGCGTGCCGCACAAGCCACTGCTGTCTGCTCTAGAGTCATATGGAATTGGAAATCCGCTGCTTAATTGGTTCGACTCATACCTAAACGGTCGAACTCAGGTAGTTGAACTCGGTCAGCAACATTCTACACCGAACCCAATAACCAGCGGTGTCTTCCAGGGAAATGTGCTCAGACCACTACTTTTCTTAATCTACGTAAACAATATATGTGACCCGACCAAACATAGGCACCCATTTCTGCTTGCAGATGACGTCAAACTGGTTTACGCATTTCATCCAGACCAACTACATATATGTTTGGGGAACATCTGTGAAGACGTATCCGCACTAAATATAGCTAGTAAGCATTTATTAATGAAGTTCTCCGCAGTGAAATCCCAAGTACTTGGGTACAGATACCGCATCCCAGAAGGCTCCATCATACTTGCTGGAAACGTGATCCTAACATCTGATTCAGTTCGGGACTTAGGAATTAGATACTCCAACTCTTTCAATTTCTCCGAACATATTCTTTATCAGGTTGCGTAAGCAAGGCAATTATGCGGATATATCAACAGAACTTTTTCCCTACCTGAAGCACGACTTGAGTCATTCAAGACAATCGTACGACCGACTCTGGAATATTGTACTATCCTTCACAGCCAATTGAGAAAGAAAGACAGAACGGCTCTAGAAAATGTCCAACGATCATTTACCAAACTGCTCATGGGACGCTGCTCAAACCTGACTTATTATGATCGCTGTCGAAAACTCCAACTGGATCCACTTTGGCTGAGACGATTAAAGAACAACCTCGTTCTCTTCTACAATATTACAAACCAACGAATTTACGCAGACAGCACCGCACTTGAACTACGGAAGACTGCAGTCTGCCGCACACGTAATGGCGGCTACTTGATACGTACAAACCTTTCAAGTCATAAAACTCGGTCGAATTTCTTGTTAGTGTGATACAATGATCTGTGGAACAAACTACCCCTACAGATACGCATGTGTACAAGCCACGTCATGTTTCGAAATCTCCTTCAGACCTCCCTCACTATACCAAATGTTTTGAAGATATTTGACTCACAGCAAACTCTAGAAACATTGACAGAAGCTGGTATAAAAAACGTGTGAGAAGATATTCGCTTACAGCTGGCTTACCCACTACATGTCATTACATACCATACTAAATCCCGTGTTTTTGCAGCCTAGTAGTCCCTCCCTTTATTATCTACTCCTGATGATACAAACATCCGTAACTTTTACCTACGAGGTGCACGGGTCTAGCACCTAAGGAAAAAAAATAATGATTCGAAATTCCATTAACAAACTTTTCTTTAATATTATGAAACGTATTCTCTATACAAAAGATCGCTCCCACTTATGGGGCCGTGTACCGTCTGTCGGCAAATATACAAAATTTTTCATTTATTTAGATGCAACGTTACCTACTTTATTACTCGCGTCCCTTTTGTGATGGCACTGCTTTTCCCCATTTCTCCAGCGGTTGCTTGTTGCGCATACTACTAATTTCATCCTGATATGCTTTGCCCATGATGAAGTTGCTTTTGCCTTGTTCCTCAGGTTCCTCTTCGATCTTCTCGCTCGTGCCGGTTTTACAGCCCAAACAACTGAATTGGCCCTGCACACTGTGGAGGAAATCCTGTCGGTCTCAACTGCCGCTGAGAGTGAGTACAGTTGGACCCTCCTTCTTCATGAATTGAATGCTTTATCCTACGGACCCGATTGCCACTTGTCCGGAGTTTTCCTCCTTTACAGATAAGTGATCGAATAAATAGTGTCATTAAGGCATGAAGAAATAGGCCGAAAGACGACCAATCTGTCACGTACCGTTATAGTGAATGAGGACTTTGGGATAGTCATATCGGTGCCTTGCGTTCGGTGTCCTGCACTTAGCGCCTAATACTCTATGTCTCTTGACCTTAACTTCTACTGACTAATTTTATACATTCCCTATGCATTTTATCCTATTTTTTCTATTTTTGCTACACATTGCTTAGATACTTGGACCAGAGTTGTTTAACTGAATGAGTTGCATCTATTATGCCACCTTTTCTCTTTGTTTCCTCCTTTCAGACCCACAATTGCGTCGACCCAGGGGAATCAATGAGGTGTCGGAATTTTTGAAGGTCAGCTGTCTTCACGTAGCCCAATGCGATGCTGACACTTTCGTCTCATTTTCTACTCATCGCCTTTACTCGCAGTCGGCTTGGTTTTTCGCGAATCTTGATGCAGTTGCTGTATTTCTAAGCCAAACCTTTGTTAGTTTGCCTCTGTTAAATTATATGCGGTTGTTGGAAATTTCATTTCTTGTTGATAGGACTGATAAGGATGAACGAGTTCTGCTGGCACACGGACTGCTTGACTGTTGAATCACCCCCATCGATAAGTTCTTGTTCCAGCATCACCAGTTTTTGTTCTTCACAGATCATCAGGCCAACTTCAAAGCATCGATCTCTGTCCTAGTTCATAATATAATGCATTATGATCGCCCCATTCTGATGTTTACCGCACACATTGACAGCGTTCGTGTGGCTTTTCAAGTCCTCTATTGATTGCGGGACGGCGGGTTGTAAGCTTGTTAAGTGGAGAGTTCACAGTATTGCAGTGTACTCTTTGGACTTGGCTTTTAACGCGGTAAGGATACCAAACTACTGACTAAGTTTGAACACCGATGCTTGCGAAGTATTGCTTACCTCCGTTTGATGCATATAGTATTGTCGAAGTTCAGAGCCTCAAATATTCAGTCGGACTGTCAATTAAACTGGAGTCGCTTACACTGAGTTAGTCTTGTGGTCCGCACAGCCGCAGCTTGGCCACCTAAACCTGTATTCTATGCAGATAGTCTGCGCAGTTTGGTGCAACCCCGAGTTGTCCAGTCAATGGAATAGCGAAATACCTTAGACTGTCTCGCACATCCGTTTCCACAGCTCTTACTTAACTACCCATCCTTATGATTTAATTTCTATCCGTTATTCTTGGATTGTTGCTAACCACACTATTGATACTATTGGTTCTTTGCCACGTGAGTCAAATTGACTGCATCCCCCACACTACAGTGTCATCGATCGTAGTTGCTGCGCTTAATTGTCCGTTTTCTGGATTTCTTTAACACCCATTGCGAGCCCAACTTTTGTACACCACACCTATCGTTTTTGGTTCGAAACCAATAAGATGAGTCCGAGTGTTTAGTTAAGTTTTTTTGGTGAATCTCATCAGACTCGGACATTTACATAATGCGCGTTACATGGTAAATGTGCCGAGTTGTGCTAAATATTGAATAGGATGTTAAATTTGACGGCCAAATCCATGACTCACGGTGTCTTTAAAGGTGGTGGGTTAAGTGCAATGTACAGTTAATTAGGTACATTATTTTCACAACTAATCAAAGTTTTACAGGGTTAAAAGCAAAATCAGCCGCGGTATATCGGCTACGATAAAAGTAACGCGTGCGAATCCCTTCTGTACACACAGCTCCGGCTTGGGGTGGCGAATCTGGATCGCCTCAGCAATAGATAGGAGATGCTAACGGAATCCACACTCGAATCTCTCCGGAATGGGAATAGATAACTCTTAAATCCTTTCCCTGGACCTGCGACATGATAAAACTATTAGCTATTCGCCACTGTAAAACCACTTCGGGATGTGTTTACGAATCCTATGCGATAGGCGCATCGTAGTGCGACTCACGTATCGTGCACCACAAGAGCACGAGTATTGATAAACACGCATTGCTCGAGTCAACCTTAAAAATCTATCCTTCAAAGTTTTTGAGAGTAAATGCTTGCTTTGTTATACGATGCGCAAGTGAGCTGCGAAATGGGTCTTCTCAACAGCGTCTTTCAAGCGTTTGGTCAGGACATCAGGCGTAATGTCGCATTTGCACAGTAAATGCACAGAAACTTCCTTGTTGGCTACGCTCATCCTCAGTGGTCTTTAAGATGTTTGAGGATTTATTTTTCCGGATGCCCATTTGATCTTAGGTCGTCGTTTACTCTCTGCAGTCCATCGTTAACAGTCTCCGGTGTGCACATTCTCTGTGCCCAGAAGGCAAGGTTGCTTATTCCGTTTGTACTGCAAGGGAACCGCACTGCAAAGCTTGGTAAACTGCCCAGTTCAAGTGTGTTTTCTATGCATTTTTATGCTGCTGATAATATCAACTTCCAGAAATGGTAATCGTTCTTCGGACTCGTGCTCACAGGTGAAATGCAGATTCCGATGCGCGTCGTTAAACGATTTCAAAAGCTTCATAGCATGTAACTTCGATTTACAAAATGTAAATGTGTCCTACACACGGCGTATATACATTTCAACTTCCTTGATGTACAGTCTTATTAAGCGATCCTCCTATTTCGCCATAAAGACATCTGCCAAAAGAGCTCCCAATCGTGACCCCATGGCAACTCCATCTAGTTGACGATATATCTTTCCGTTGAAGATAAACTGCACATTTAGGATGCACCTAAGTAACAATTCCTTCAGAAGATTTTCCGGGAGATTTTATGGCATGTTTTGTTGTTGTACCTGTTTGCAAACCTAATCCATTTTCTCCAATAACGGATTATTTGTAAACAACAACTGGACGTCGAACGATGAAATACACTTGTTGCTAAGGTTCACGTTCTTTATCCTCTCAATGAACTCAACTATCCTTCATGTAGTAAGTGCAAATTACTTTCCGCAGCGGTTCCAACTTCTCAATCATTCATTGAAATATAATATGTTGGGAAGAACTAACCATGTCCAAGATCGGATGCAATGGGGCTCCTCTTTTGTGAACTTTGGGGAGGCCTACAACGGCGGCAGCTGTCCGCCTGAAGGCGTCAGCTGTCAATCGATCAAATGTGACGTTTAATATTTTGACTTCATTTTTATTGCATTTACGATTTACTACAATGCACATCATGGTAGAATTCATCTAGTGATCTTTCCAACTTATACATTATCTTCGTTATGTTGCGTCATTCACGTTTCACTCCAATTACGCTCAAGCTCCTCCGCTGTCATATATGATTCCCGTGCTGAATTCAACAATGCATCTTTTAATCTTATTTTATCTCCTCTGCTTGATCTTCTAGACCGTCTTTGAAAGTAGGCATCCACCCGCCCAATCGAAGTTGCTTTCTCTCTTCCGGCCGCAGAATGTGGACTACTCTCGATGTTACCGTTTATTTGTCAAAGATGAGCTGCTTAATGGCAGAGGCTCAGCTCTGCCCATTGACGGCAATAGAGTTTGGGGTTCCCACGCCGGGAATACTACCAGATCCACAACGAATCGAACACTGAGCTACTGGTGCCTGAGTCCCGGTCGGTGAGTTTCACGCACATTGTGTCCTCATCGCGAATATTAGCGAATCAATGAAAATTCGATGTCTCCTGACTTTCCAGCAGCTTCCGATTGGGAAGCTGCCTTTTGGAACCTTCTGTGCAGTGGTCAGCATAACCTCGGCGATGTGCGACGTCCACTCACAGCTCAACCCTTTGTGCGACTTACCACAATCAACAACGGTCGCGGTTCTCTCATGCAACATTAGCTTGTCCACCCGAATTTGTTAAGCCAATTAGGATAAATCAGATCTTTTCTGCCCTTTTCCTTTTTCATCTCCTTTGAGAAAGAGGTCATCCATCATTCTGCACTCTTCTACAGAAGTAGCGATTAGGCTGGCAGTTAGATTAGATTGGACCAAATTCATTTGCAAACGCTTTGGTTTGGATAGGCATATATCGCTGCACTCCTCTGTTGGTGCTTTAACTATTACTACAGAGCTGGACTTACGTACCATGGATTCCCACTGCTACCGAACAGCCGCTAACAGTGTTCGATACTGTCCTTGTGGCCGTTTCTTACAAACTAGTCAGCTAATTGGAGGGGAGGTTGCTGCGTTAATTTGGGCGACTGTTGCATCTCTTTGATGCCTCAACCGGTGTGGAGTTTGCTTATCGAGTGAGGCAGATTGCAGGACGCCGCATTACCTGTTCTTGTATCTATCAGAAAAGCGACCGCTTTGCGCTGTAGGCATCAGACTGTTGGTGCAGGCTGTCCTACCGAACATGCGTTGTCAGATTTTCCCACTTGCAGGTACCCCACTTAGCAGTATCACACTTGACCGTCAGTTGCACTTGCATCACGATGTCTTTGTGGTATGCTCTTCACATGTCGGTTGTGTGACATTGTTTGCTGTTGCCACACATGGTTGACAGGTTCTGGGCTGGTATCGTAATCTTACAGCGTGGTGAAATTGATTGATATATTTAGACAGGCTGTTGTCTGCTCAATTCCCGAATGATAGTCTGTCAATCGGCTACGCCAGTTGTGCTCTACCTTCACCGATATGCTTTGGTCGCTACTTGATTACTGTCCAATTTGCTACTATTTTTCTCCTTGTGGAGCGGATTTTGCAACACTTGCCTGCACTGCACTACACACGAGGACTCGCGTCCATTGGCAGCCCGAAGCAACACTTAATCTTGGGATTGTGACGTTTTGAAGCACAATTTGTTAACGGCCAGGCCACACTCATTCAACCCGTTTGATCCTACTCATTAAAGCTGTATGTGCGAACTTCGCGCGTTTGCTGAACATGATGTGATCGGGACCTGTCATTCAATACACTTTCTAAACCTGTCGGGAAATACATCTCTACTACTCGTACCAAAGACGATGACTGGGCCGTAGCTCCTTCCGTAGTGGAACTTGTTAGGAGGAACACCTCCCATGGATCCGCGAGCCCTAACCAAATCAAACTCCAGCCTTTTTCATCAACCAAGCAGATTAATCGCATTGGTTGATCTCGCACATTGTAATACTATTATTGGTAAATGATGCATGAAAGAGAACAGAGAACACTCAGGTTTGTTGCCACGAACAAATAAACATATCTGTCCTCTAAGCTTTGTAATTGTCTTGTATCTGGCGGCCAATAAACCGTGCCTGCAACCCCTTGCGTTTTGATCGTCCAATCGGAGCGGAGAGGTTTTTCTCGAGCAGTCAACCAGAGCGGCCGTGTGTGACCTTAGTGTGACCATAGCAGAAATACTTTGCATTGTCCCCGTTAGAGATGGTCCTGGACACAGTAGTCGAGGTGGCAGCATTCGCCCTGTGGGCACCTTGTCAATCTTCCCATCGCTCGAAACGGTGCTGGGCATAAAAGTTATTCATGGGACCACATGCGTTCATTCACTTGGTGCCATCTGTACCATTCGCGGAGGCACGTCCCATGCCTCGTTAACTCCAGAACCAACCTTTCAGATGATGTAGTAGGGTTTCCTTCTTGATAAAAGCGGATTGATATGCAAGTTGTCGCTTCAAGGATTGGGATTTCGTGGCGCTTGGAATTGGTCGGAGTTGCATGTGATAATTACACACCACCTGGCTACACATCAGCCATCACCATTGCCAGCTCTTGAGATGTAGGTTAGATCTCCTAAATGACCGGTTTGTTTGCTAACCTATTCTGGCGCGATGTCCTGCTCATCTGTCGGCGATGCCTTATCCCCATATGACCCCGCTTCTTTCATGAGTGCTTGAGATGACGAATCTTGCTACCAAATGTCAATCCTACTTGCTAACACGGCGACAATTCTCTCTCTTCCAAACTCTGTCCCTTTCACGCAACTGGACTGAATCTATTGCTGATGGGCACAATGCCATCATTGGATATTCTGCAATGTTGGTGAATGTTGGATATTACTCTCTGGAAAGCTGCGCTCCATGGCCAGTTACAAATTTGTTTGCGCTCATCAGGTATTGGTAACGAGATTGAAATCGAGCCTGAGACCTTTAGGATGTGAGGCGAAGCATCTACCCCTGAAGCACCGGGTCGGTTGTCGCAAAAATTAATGACGGATTGGACGGGTCGATTTAGAACACTGGTGAATTGTAGTCCTGATCGATGTTGCGTTTCGCTATCCATTCTCACAACACGTAATTCAGTATGACCCCTTCTTACCCTGGGATATACCTCTAAGCCATGGGTCACCAGACTTTGGCTCGTTGGACGGGTACCGCGTGCCTATTATACTCGAACTACTTTGATAGTGCCGACGGAACACTAGCTGTGATACAATTTGTAGTTAACTCTGCATATCGTATTGCCAGTGCTCCCACACCTTTCGAAATTTAGCGCGAGCCAGCTCGTGGTTGTTATATGGGACACTACTATCTTGCTATCACTGTAGGAACATCGAAGTTCACGATCACACATAAAATCCACTCATCCGTGCACCCTACTGTGTTTCCGTTTACCTCACGCATTTATGCCGCAATTTTTGGTTGGACGCATCCCTTGATTCACGTTACAGACAAGACATCGCATACGAGGATGCCGTTAGCTAGGAGGAGTCAATTTTAAAGACATATTTGCTGGTTGAACATGAGTTACGCGTTTTTAATACAAATTTGTTCTAGCAGCACAAATCCTTGAGACGTGTACAATCTGGTCCTGCTTAGGCCAGATTTACAAGTGCCTTGAAACCGATATATATATATATATATATATGTATGGGCTAAACCAACTTACACTTAAACTAGGTCTTTTTAAGCTGGATAAATTTCATTCCGCTTTATTTGGTTTGTTCTGCCGCCCTGAATATTGTTCTATTAACTGGCCACGTTGCTTACGCTAATTGCGCTTGTCTTTGGTAATTTTGTTGCGTTTGTATCATTTTAAGTAACTTGTGGACATTTCTTACTTATCACGGATTTGTTGCTAACCAAATTACTCCATATGCTAATTTAGCGAAGAGTTATGCCACCGTATCTGTATGCATTATTGGGTTTATTTTATTTCAGCTTGTCGTTTAAAGTGAATGGTTGTTGTTTGATATCCCTGGTATGGTTGCGCTTGATGTGTATGTTGACAAGGTGCCTACCTGTCTATTATCCACTACATCGTTCATACTGGCTCCAGGAGACAGTTGTTCGTTGCTGGAGGGGACGGGCTGCACGGACCTTGTGGTCGTGCTAGGCTCGAAGAGTGGTTCCATGCAGTCAGTGTGGAGCGGACTACGGTCCAGCCACCGCCTTGTGTGCGATTGATTCCCCAAATACAGCGTGCTTCTGTTTGCCTGTGAAAGTGTGTGGGCCGGCTCCGTTGATGAAACGTGGTTCCCATCCGCATGCCTCCCGGTCTTATTCCTTCGGGTTTACACTGGATATGGGGTATGTGGTTGGAGCTGTGGGTGGTGCAGCGCAAGCCATCCATGGTCCCTCTGTAGGCGCAGGCTTCCTGTGGCTGGCCACAGTGACAGACAAATCCGAAGTTGGATGCCCTCAACCAATAATCATTACATATATATATATATATATATATATATATATATATGTATTTACCTATATCGTATAGCGGCATCCGTATCCGGATTTGTCTCTCACTGTGACCTCTATGGGGACAGCCACAGGATGCCTGCGCCTACAAAGGGGACCATGGATGGCTTGCGCTACACCACCCGTAGTTACACCCACACACCCCATATCCGGTGTAAACCCAAAGGAATAAGACCGGTAAGCATGTGGATGGAAGCCACATTTCATCAGTGGAGCAGGCCCACACTCCTTCAACAAGTGGTAAAAAAGCATTCCGGTCTAATTCAGAAGTGATGCACACCAGACATACACATGGCGGTGGCTGGACTGCAGCCCGTTCCACCCAGGATGGAACCAGTCTTTGAGCCTAGCGCCATCACGAGGACGGTGAACCGCGTTCCATCCAGCAACGACCAACTGTCTCCTGGAGCGAGCAGTCGAGGTGGAGGGTATTAGACAGGTAGATACCATGTCAACATGCACATCAGACGCATCCATACCGAGGAGCTCAAACAACATCAACTTCCGAAATTCAAGGTTGCTCATCACGTAGGCAAACGTATCACGTACGCCGCCTTATTGGCCTGGGTTAGTAAATCGAATGGGAGCGTACGCATCGTGCTTCTATTCCGCGTGCAATAGTACCTTCCCATGCACCTGAGCAATCGCCCATTTGAGCAGTCCATGGAATTCGACCCGCTCAACTTTGCCTTGGGTTCGCAATACCTGACATCAACATGAGTTTGTCATTAACTCATCTTGTTCATGTACTGATAAGGTTATTTTTGTTTGTCCGAGTGCCGTTTCCGTGCACTAAGTTGGCTGTACAAATGCGGTACTAGTATCATCACCAATCGAAGTGATTTTGTCAGTGCGTACCAAACAAAAATTGTCGGATAATAGTGTGATGTTAATTTTTGCTTAGTATGCACTGACGGAGTCACCTCGATTAATGTCGAAACCTCTGCATCGAAATAGTTTGGCTCAGAAAACAAACTTAAACCTGT